TGCTTGACATACTTGACATCAGCCCGTTGCGCTCCGACCCCAGCATTAAATATGACTAAAGTCTGAGCAGCAGACTGAGGTATCTTGTCCCATCATGTCCACTTTCCTCGTCGTCACCGCACCCACGCCAAAAAAACCAATCAAGCTAGGTAGTAGCAGTGCAGATACCTACGTGACGAGGAGGGGAGGAGCCGCCTGGCCTGGCCTAACGTAAGGTAGGTGAGGTAGCACACCCAGCATATCCACTTGCACTTGCACGTCCACGTCAAGAATTGCAAGGTCTGCACACTCCAAGCACACATCCCATCCATCTTGATCCCCGTCGCCATCCCCGTCCATGCCCACACACCACACGCACTCACACACCCAGCAGTTGTTGTCCCAACTCCAGCTCAAGCTCCAGTGTTCCAGCTCCGGTCCAGAAAACCACTCTTCCCCTTCCCCATATTAAGACCTCGAGGATCCCCTCGCTTGGACCTTGCTGTTTGTTCTGCTTCTTCTTCTTCCTCCCCATTCTCCTCTTCTCTCTTTGGAAGACTCTCCATCTGCAACTGTGACAGACAGAGCACCATCTGCGCCATTGGGTCAGCAAGATCTTGTCTGCGAAAGAGCTTCAACCTGCTGGAATACAGCTCTTCCACTCCTCCTTTTTGGTTTAAATTCACCCACGTCTCCCACTGTCACCGAGTCGGATCGACGTCGGAGCCTCACATTCCACCATCCAACAGCTCTGCAGCGGTCGCGTGCTGAGATACCTTCCTCGAAAAACGATCTCCTGTCTCATTTGCTGAGACGCGATTCAGAATCCCCAACGCCCGAGCGAACAGCGGGACCACCACTTCTTTTTTTTGAACCGAGGCTCGCAATTGGTCAATCCCCCACCATGGCCGGCGTCACCGTGCTCAGCGAGCTCCCGTCCCCCTCGCTCTTCCAGTTCCCTCCGGACGGCGCCCACATGGCAATCCCCCCGCCGCTCCCGGGTTCCATGGCCGCCGCACCCCCCTTCGAGATCCCCGACCACATCTTCTCCGCCGCCCTCGACCCCAAGGTGCCCATCACCATTGCCGCCCTCTACGCCGTCACCATCAAGCTGTTGAACAAGTACAACCAGTCCACTGGTCGTAAGCCCTGGGCAATCAGCAAGACTAAGCCCTTCTTCGCCTTTGTCGTTCTGCACAATGTCTTCCTCGCCGTCTACTCGGCCTGGACTTTCTGGGGCATGTTGGGAGGCATGCGCAGGAGCGTCGTGAGCCCCTTTGGCCCCAATGGCCTGGCTGCCACCGCCGACAGCTTCTGCCAGCTCAACGGTAACGGCGGCTTCGGTGCCGCCACTGTCTACAACGAGACCGTCGGTTTCTGGTCCAGCTTGACCGGACAGTCTGCGCTTGGCTATGACGGTCGCCCGAGCCGCACCTCCACTGGCAGAATCTGGAACGAGGGTCTTGCCTTCTACGGCTGGATCTTCTACCTGAGCAAGTTCTACGAGGTTCTCGACACTTTCATCATCCTGGCCAAGGGCAAGCTCAGCTCCACCCTCCAGACCTACCACCACGCTGGCGCCATGATGTGCATGTGGGCTGGTATCCGCTACATGTCTGCTCCCATTTGGATGTTTGTCCTCGTCAACTCCTTCATTCACGCCATGATGGTAAGTTTGCACCGGCCTGCCTTTGTGCGATGAGAGATGCTAACCATGAGATCAGTACACCTACTACACCATCACCGCCTTCAACATCCGCGTTCCCATGGCGATCAAGCGAACCCTCACGACCATGCAGATCACTCAGTTCCTCGTCGGTGCTTCGTATGCCATGCTGCACTCTTTCGTCTCCTACACCGTTCCCGTGACCGTCTACACTTCCAAGAAGGCCGCCGAGGCCGCCGCTTCTGAGGCCGTCACCAGCACCGCTGCCGAGGCCGCTACCACTGCGGCCGCCGGTGCCTTTGAGGGTCTCAAGAACATGGTCTTCGGCGCCGGTGCCAAGGTCGCCGAGGAGGCTGCGGGCGCGTCCGTCGCTGCCGCTGCTGCTGCCCCGCCCCAGCCGGGCTTCATCGCCGAGACCGTATACGTCACCCAGCCGTGCATCACCACCAGCGGAGAGACCTTTGCCATCTGGCTCAACGTCTTCTATCTGGCCCCTCTCACCTACCTCTTCGTCATGTTCTTCATCCGCAGCTACCTCCGCCGTAGCAGCGCCGAGTCTGCCAAGGGCAAGGGCAAGGTCCGCCGTGAGAGCAACGTCACCCTGGCCGAGAAGGCTGGCTGGGATGCTGCCCGCGATGTCAACCGCGAAATCTACAACGGCTCTACCGAGTATGCCGTCGAGGGTAGCCCCCGCCGCGGCGCCGGCAAAACCAACAACAAGGCCCGTGCCTGATTGTCTTGTGCGAAGTGGTCGGGACGGATGCGTAATGGGACATACGAGGGTTACTGTGGAGGATAGTCGGACTGAGAGGGTGGGAATTGGGACGGCGGCATGGTCATACTTATCTGGCGTTCTGAGCAGGGAAAACATTTGGGGTAAAGCATTTGCATCGCCCGGAGCGCTCGTTATCTAGTCGTAACCGTCTAGAGCTTTGCATTTTATCGCATAAGGTACATGGGCAGTCCGGCAGCTGTATATACATTATAGTACCCAATCTGGTTCTTCAATTCCTGGTGTGTTGTGCCCAAAACGTGCGTTTGAATGACACGCTTCGGAGACTTGGTCTCATCGAAGAGTAGGATACGGCCTAAGCTCCTGCCGGATCGGGGTGGTGTTCCAGCCGTTCCGACAAGGAGCCGGTCCGATGCGAGGTCGGAGACGGCATTAATGTGGATACTCGGCCTCCGGAGCAAGCAAGACGCCGATGTCGAATCTCCGGTGAGGTGTCTCTGTGTTGGGTACCGACGGATGCAGCTATGTAAGTGCACGCCCGTTTGATACTCCGCACAGGCTTCCTCATCCGTATTCCTGACTCACAAACGCCACATGATGCGTATTCAAAAGCAAAACATGGTTATTGTCATCCTTTCCAAGTGACATTATCAGTCACATTCTTTCTTCCCGCCAGAGGGCCCCAGCCTTACAGAAGTCTCCTCTCCAAGGTCACAACACAGAGCCCGCGCAGCTGTGACTCCTCCGCCGGAACATGTCTGAGGCACGGCACAGACTTTGGAAGGCCGGCATCAGCGGATTTAAGCTTGCGGGGGGGCGTTGTTGCTCCTCTTTGCGCGCGCCCGCTCGTGCTGCTGCCGGTCGTGAGATGGTTCACACGGGCTGGGGGGCTATACTGCGGGTACAGCAGCAGACATGCAGGAGCGCAGCAGGAGCAGCGGCGGCAGCGCGTTGACATGTGCGCGCGCGCGCGCATGTGTGTGTCCGAGCCCGGTTCGTCCAGCGTCGCGTGGTGCGTTGGGACGCGGGGTGCGTCGCCCTCGTCGTCGTTGGACTACCTAACGTACTTAGCTCCCCTTTTTTCCTCCGGCCCGCGATCTTTATTCCCTTGTTCCCGCTGGCGGCTGCGCCTGCTCCGCCGGTCTGCTGCTGCTGCTACTGCCTTCAGTCTGGCTGTCTCTCTCACTCAACATGAGCATGAGCCCCAGAATCTACCGCTGATGACGCTGTCATGCCATCGTGAGCGGACCAGGTCACCACTCCATACCCTGCAAGGCGAGCACTCCAAGATGGCAAACGTCTTTGACAAGAAAGCGAGTCAATACCAAAGACTGCAAAGGTTACACATATCCAGCCACTCGCCTCCGTAACATCGCGGGTAGAGCACTCACTTGTATGAATCACGGCGCGGTGTGTGTCACTTGTCCACAGGATTCGCCGCAGCCGACAACGACATTCGCCGCAAGATCTTACACCTCCAAGATCCCGAGCTAAATCCAACCTACCCTCACTGGACCTGGGGTAGGACGAAGGGGGGAATGGGGGCGAGTGACAACTGGCAAGAGAGAGAGGTAAGAAGAGCCAACCAGCCACTAGGCTAGCCTCGGCTCAAGCATGACCACCCACACACACGGCGCATACACACACCTCGAACCAGTCACTCGGTCGCGCTTGCTAAAGATTTGCCTTGTCGGGTAATGCCCAGAGACACGGGTCGGTGAGCAGCAAGATCTCGGACGCGTCTGGATTGCTGATGAAGCATCGTGAAAAGGCAGCTGCAAGCCCACCACCGCCTGTCCAGCCGTCACAGTCACAAGCCAAGGTTTCGCGAGGTGGAACTTTGTGTGGATGCAATCAATGGTATTTCTTTCTTGTCTGTCATGCGGGGTACTCCAAGGCGGCGGACGTGGCCTAACGTGCGCGACAAGGTTGCGCTGCCGTCCGTCCGGGTTGTTGACCCTTTCCTCCTTTCCCCCGCCCTATCCCGATCCTTCATCCTATATCATTTCCGTGCCATCGACCAATAGGTGAGGCCAACTCTAAATACACAACGCCGATCCATGAAGGTGTTCGGCCGATCAATTTCGTCTTCCCGCTTCGTCACCCGGGCGGGTTCAGAGAGCGGGAAGCGAAACGCCCGGCCATCACATCTGGGGTATAGACACCTCCATGAAGTATGCCGCCAAACTCCGTTCGAAAGGAGGGCCTGATTAGAGCCAATGTATGTGTTCCGTAAAACGAGCCATTCCAATACTGTCAAAAAAGACGACAAGCCAAATTCCAAGCTCGATATCCTGCCAACGCCACGCTAAATGCAAAACGGAGCCATGCCAAATCGGTGGTGTAGAAACCGGTAGGGCGTTCTAAGTGCGGATCGGATGTAATGATGTTGACGCGTATGCGCAGTCCATTAGTGGGTATTGTTGTTGTTGTTGTTGTGGTGGTGGTGGTGGTGGTGGTGTTTGGTATCGTCGGGGTGGTTGATGAGAATCAACGCCGCCGTTTGTAAGTCTATGAGTCTATTGTGTTCGCTCTTCGTCAAGGCCGTGAATCGTGATCCGTCTGTTGCTTCGCGCCCTCGGGTTTCTATTTCTCTCCGTATGCGCCGACTCGTCGAGCCCTTCAGAAGGTGCTCCAGTTCCAGTCGCGCGGCACGCTGGCAGCGACCTCGGGGCCCTTGGTGGGAGCCAGGAGGCCCGGCGTCGTGGGAACGATGGGGCTCGCAACGATGGGGCTGGTCGGGGTGGTGCTGGTAGAGTCGGAGCTCTGGTCGCTCCCGCTGCGGCTGCCGTTACGGCTCTTCCATACCTTAAATTCGGTGAAGCAGTGAAAGCAGACGCGGGACAAGGTCGCGCGGGGGTTGAACTCGCAGTCCTCGTCAAGGGGGATGAATTGTGTAGAGTGAGGTCCGCAGAAGATGTTGCCGCAGCGGCGGCAGTGGTGGCGACGGTTCCATGCGTTGAAGTTGCGCTTGCAGGTCGGGTCGTCGCACATGGTAGACTCGGTGTCGGGCTGTGGAGTTTCGTTAGCATCCGCAGTCTCGCAGAGTATGCAGTGCACCGTCGTGTAGACTTACCTTCCAGTGCTTGCGTGTAGGCTCGCCGGTAACCTCAGGGAAGAGCTCGGGATCCAACTCGAGGTCCACGACCTTGCCGCTGTCGCCGGTGGAGCGACGCGCCAGCTTGGAGCCGATGACGCTGAAGCCGGGCAGGCTGATGAAGCTGCTGTTGGTGCGGCGCAGGCAGAGCAGGTCCTCGCCGTCGAGGTCCTCGGCCTTGGGGGTTCGCGGCTTCTTGGAGTGGTGGTGGTTGGGGCGGAGGACGGCAGGCATGTAGGCAGGGCGGACCGAGTCGGTCAAGCACGACTTGGGCGAGGTCGGGGAGCCATCGTGAGGAGTGCTGAGGGGGGAGATGCGCTGGCCGAAAGGTCGCGGCGCGGTCTGAAAAGACTGAGATCTTGTGTGGCCAAAGTCAGGGCGATGCTGAGGCGCGTAAAAAGCGGCAGGGCCGCGCTGGTCGGCGAGGGTAGGCATTATGAGGTCGGCGGCCATTGTGTTGACGATAGTCGATGGTGTAAGTAATGCTGTGGAGGATTGCTGTAGAGAACAAAACCGCGCGTGGGATGGCAGCGGTTGGCGCTAATTAATGTAATCCAACGATGCGCGTGGTGTAGGAATGCAGAGTGCGGAATGCGAGCGTGTCGCAATGTAGGTGTGGTGATTAAGAGGAGGTGAGGCGTTGGGTCTCGTGTTATCGATGCTTCGAGTAGCAAGCTTGGCCGCAAACGTCGACGAAAGTATATTTCGTCGTTGTGTCGTGGAAGAGGCGAAGATGTGCTTGATCAACCAGAACGGGCTCCCTTTGGATGTTGGTTGTTGATTTATTTTCGGTAGAAGGAGAGAAATGTAGATGGGAGGTGGGAGCGGGATGGTGAAGTAGTGGTTGGTCGATTGGGACGAGTACGGTCGAGGATGGGAAAGGGGGCGTGGGAAGAGGAGCCTTAAGGGCGAACCGTGGGCAGGAGCAAGTGGAAGGGGGTGCGGGTTCCCTATTAGTTTTAATGTTGCGGCAATTGGCGGAGGGAGTTGCCCGAGTAGGAGGGCAGCACCAGTCAGTCTGCCGAACTGCGTAGGTAAGGTAGGTAGGTACCCAAGGTGCAGTGCACCTCAGCCAGAGGAAGGACCAGCCGCTGGAAGGAGGGGGAGTGCCCTGTTGATTCACACCCCCATCAAGGACATGACACGCTGCGGACCAGGGTCTCTGTGTGCAGCGTCTCTTTGCAGTCTCTTACACCCCCAAACGTATTCGTACTGTACCAAGCAGACCTTCATTTCCTATGAAGCCAGGCACGAATAACTCACGATGCTCTTTTGCCAGCCAACCCCTCCGCCAGAGACGCTCTCGCCGTGCCCATTACGGTGAAGCAAGCATACCTCTGTGCTGTCTGCCTGTCTGTCTGCATGCACTCGTCTGCCCAGATAAGAAATAAACTCTGGACAGCAGATGTATGTATGTATGGCCACCCGTCTCCCAAGGTGCATAGGAGCAGCAGCGACAGCAGCAACAACACCGCCAAAAGCCACATCAGCTACAACAACGGAAGGCGACCGCGATCTCCAAGATGCAGTTGCCCAATCAGCGACGGCGGGAAACCAAAGTACAGAGACTACCAGCGAGAAGGCAAAGGCGGCGGCCCACGATGGTCGATGGCGGCGGCGGCGGCGGAGGCGACGGCGACCGCCCTTTCGCCTGCAAGGGAAGCCCCCGTCAATGCAGTCAGTCAGTCGTCGTGGGCCGTCCACAGTTGGAGTTGGTCTCCAGTCTCAGTCTCCAGTCCAGTCCCAGTCTCTCCAGTCCCAGTCCCAGTCCCAGTCCCAGCGGCGCTCCAGTCAGTGCACTCCCAGTTCCTAGTCGCGGTCCCCCCCTCACGGTCCACCTCATCATCAAGATGCACCACCGCACACACAAAGTGCCCCCAATCCCGTAACCGCATTAGCGACCTTTGCGCTGTGGGCGGTCTTCTACCCGTCCTCTGGTTGGCCGAACCACCCAAAATCACCCCCGGCCAGGTCTCCGTCGACACCGGCTGCCTAGTCCTCGTCGAGCGTAGACTCTCTCTGTCGTCCCGTCCGTCCTAACTGCAATCGACAAAGAACGCTGCCCGCCGTTTCCACCATTACACAGTGGCTCATGAATTCCGAAATCGAATCGGCGCGGGACTCCATTCCGCCCCGGCCAACTGCCCCAAACCGTCACAATCTCGACCCTCAGTCTTTGCTCACCTTCCGTGCCCCTCCGTCACCGAGGCCCAAGCAGCCTAGACAGCGGAAACATGGACCAGCGCTGTCTAGGACAAAAAAGACCCTGAAATGAGCTGCTACGTAATAACGCCGTGTTGATTGTTCCCTTCGACCACGCTAGTCCTGTCTGCGTTGATGAAGATCGCTGGGAACCTCCTTGGGCCCATGGGGCTGCTCGCGTGTCTTTTTTTTTGTTGTTGTCCTGCCTCGTCGTCGTCGTCTCAACTCCTCTAACCTCCTCCTTCTCCTGGCCCATGGCCCGTAGTCCACACGGCCGCTAAGTTACTTGGAGCTACCTTGCCGCTTCATCACCTTCCCCTAAAGCTTAGCGACCGAGTGGTTGGTTTCGTTGTCTAGGCCAGGTCACTCCCGTCAGGGTCTTTTGGCTCCCGACTTCTTGTCCCGCGAGTAGCCTGCCAAAAGGTCTCGAGGCTCTGCCAGTCTGGCACGACCGAGATCAAGACGAGAAAAAAGCAATAATGCCATTGTAGCGTCTGTAGCCTGCAAATTAGCGGTGGACGAGACGCTGGAGGGATGCACCTTTCAGACACTCCCCCAAAGACCCTTCAACCCACTTCACCGTCCCAGGAAACCTCCCGCCTCGTTAGCACGAACTCCAGCCATTCTCACGCGGCTCGGCGCTCCGGAATGAAACCGCGGCCGTAGTGTAGTGTAGTGTAGATGGTCTCCAATAACTCTGTGTCTTGCCTGAGGCACTTGGGAGCGAACGGCAGGACGACGCCCGGTAGATCCAACTTCACGATGCCGAAGTTACCGTTACACATACATCAACCTCTTTCCCGCTGTGGCCGCCGCCGGAAACAGCAACGTAATCGTAACCGCTGGCGCGGCCGGGCAAATGCACATCTTCATCAGAAACACTGCGGTTGCTGCATCGTCGCCAACAGAAATAACAGCAACTCTTGACAGGGGTGCCCCATCGGACACAGACCGATCTGGACTCTCTTCTTCTCACTGTTATTCTTTTTGCCGGCTGCCGCTCGTATCGCACGCGTGCATCAAAATGGGTCCCTTTCCCACTGCCCAGCGCCTCTTTGAAGAAAGAAAGCAAAAAAATAAATAAAAGAGGGCACATCGGGATTCGGGGATCCATCCTCCACTTTCTCCCATGGATGGGGTTCGTCTAGTATTGAAAGCAGCAGCAAGAAGCAGGGGTTCCTGAACCGACGTTTTTCGACCAGGACATGGAACACTGCGCGGCCTGAGATTAAAGCCTAGGCAGGCTGGGTACGCGTGCTGCGTGTAAAATGCTGCCCGGATTAGAGTCGTGCCTCTTTTCGAGTAGTGTTTCTCCGAGGCCAATTGTATTTGTCCTGATGATTTTGTAACCATGTGTCTTTGTTGTCGCTGTTGCCCATCACTTTGTCGTTTGTCTCTTATTCTTCAACGGCACTTGTAGGCCCATTGTGATAGCTGACTATTGTCATCCACTGCTGTCGACGGGCTTCGCTCCCCCCCTCCCATGGACCGATGGTGATCCCGCCCCCTCCCTCCCTCTCCTCCTCCCCCATCCCGATGCGTTGATGCGTGTGCGCGCATCCATTCCTGCAGGATACCTTATGCGTCTGCACCGCGATAGGCGGGATCCAATCGTCCTGTGCGACGTCGGAACACCTGGTCTGAGTGCCCCTCTTGGTGATGACAGACAGGTCAGATTTGCTGCACGTAGTTTGGTCGGGACCCAGCAACAAGAGGCGACAGACTCGGGCATGTAACTCTGCCTCTGACTCTCTCTCTTGACGCTCGACTCCAGTCATCTGCAACATCGCCATGTTTGTTGCATGGCAGTTGCATAGCAGGCGCGCCTAGGCCAGTCGCAGTTGCAGGATACATCGAGACGTTGTCCGCTGTCCCCTGTCAAACTGCCAGACCGCCAACCGCGAGGCGGCAGGGCCTGGAGACGTGGAGGGCGCTGGGCGTCCACAGTCCGTGACGTGAGGGACCGCCGCGGCCAACGTCCACAACACAAGCCTCAGTGTGTCTCTCTCCCTTGTTAACCCACCGCCCATCTGCTCAATTGCTGCATTGGGCCATCCAGCCGGGGGCGTCTTCTCCCCATAATGTGGAGACCCGTCCTCCACTGACACTGGCTCGCTGGACCAGACGAACGCTGTTCATTTCCAATCGCCGCGACTCGCTTTCCTCCGATCTCCAGCCTCCCCAGTTGGCTGCCCGTTGTTCGTCTGGTCGCTGGCTGTGCTGGCCGGGACTGGCTGGGCAGCTTCAGTGGGTTTTGCCTGGTTGGCCTCCTCCTCTCCAGCAATGAGGCTTGATGCTCCTTATTGTTGACTTTTGGATGTGGTTGCCAGGCGGTCTGTCCTGTCAGTGCAATTAGCTGCACCCATCGCACGCCGCAAGCGTCCCGTCAGTTGTCAACGGGGGCAAATGGCGGGGTGGGTGGCACAGCATCCTCGCGTGCTATTTACGGCGGGCGATAACCACATGGCAATGTCTGAGGGCATTTGCGCTGCACAACGCCTGCTGAGCTGCGCTGCTGCGGATTGCAACGACTAGACGGGACGCACTGCAGCTGGCAGCCGACAGCCGTCGAGTGCCGGTTTTTGCCCACATAACGGAACCTGATGGCTTCGGCATGACTTGCTCTAGCGGCAGCGTAGCTCGTGGGCAAATCTCCTGAGCAGCCGCTGCTTCTTCGGTGACACTATCCACACTGATCTCATGCTCATTAACGCCAATTGAGATTTGGTTCCCGGCCACTGAGGCGGCTGAGATCTGAGGCGTCGACCAGAAGGACGGGAGTTTTGCTCGCTAGCTCATTCGCCGTTGTCTGCGTTCGCAGAGACTCCGAACGAGTACCGCACGCAACGTACCGAACCAAACAAACTCTCAGTAGTCAGGGTCCGTGGAGAAGGGCCCGAGTCAGGTCAAGCAGTGAATATGACGCAGGGCGTGCAACGTTGACGCTCAGAGATCTCGTTCCGTGTCCATCAAATTCCTGGAACAGCAAGAGCCAATCCAGCCACGGACGAAGGATCTGCTGTCGAAACCTGACAACTGAGCGAAGCTGAACAGATATCGACGTCGATACCCCACCGTTCTCAGCCGTCCCGACTGTGCCTGCGCAGGGAGATTCCTGCGTCCGATGGAGATTTGGCGGAGCCGAGCCCATCAAGCCTCTGAAGGCGAAGCGAAGCGAAAGCAGAGGCCAGCTGGAGATGGAGATGGGGATGGAGCTGGACCCGAATGAAGAAGATCGTGCAGGACCCAAA